TGTATGTATGTATGTATGTATGTATGTATGTATGTATGTAATGTATGTATGTATGTATGTATGTATGTATGTATGTATGTATGTCTATATATATATATATATGGATTAAATTTGTGATGTATTTTAAGCTAACGATATTTTTCTATTCCATAATCGTAGAATACTCATAAAAAACGAAAGCAGGCACTTGCGTAAACAATTTTAACATCGTATGCATAGTATCAATAGTAAGGCCCTGTTGTCTGTCGAAGACCTATTCGAATGAAAGGTTGCAGATCGAGATTGAGCTGGCAACTATAGTATTTATAGTCGGACGGTTCAACTTTGCTATTCCATGTGCTACGGATACCTTGTCTTTGCTGAGTTTCCACCGTTGAACTATGTGATGCATTTTATACTCCAGGCTGACTAAAGCTCGTCTGCGAAAGTACTACCAGTCGCACAAAGTGCACATGAGCGACCGAGTTCTGGTGGAAAGTAGGTTCAGCCAGGCTCGCGATGGACCTGAAAGCATGGCAGCTGTTGACGAACATACCTACGCGCCTCGACCGGTCTTGAGCATCACAGTAAGTACTCGGGAGTCTTTGGGTACTCTGTCGGATATTTTGGTTGTGACTATAATCAGTATGTACGCGTATGTTTTATATGGAAGGCTTGTATCTCTGCCCACGGTCTGTGTATCAATAATACGCTGCTAAGCGTTCTGCTGAACATAGCTCCGAACTATCCTCGTGTGTGAACTCGTATCAACCCTTGGCTTTCACTTGCAGTACAAGCCTAAGAATGATTTCTTCGGTATTGGGTTCAAGCCTCTTGCGGGATCCATGGCGGGGGTGCCGAAGTCGCAGGGATTAGTATCCAAAGCTGCCGACGGTAGGTCGTCTGTGTGTACAAGATATTCAAAATGCACATCTATTTCACTATGTAGTATGAATCTCTCATAGTTTTCCTGGCTCTCTAAAAACCTCAGAAGTAGTATTCGCTCGAATTCTGAGTCGGAATTTTTTTCTTGTAGTATATATCTCCATGCGATCATGTACCTACCAACCCTACGTATTGCACCAATTCAAACACACAGGTACCACATTGCCCCGAGGGCATGCGTTTGGCACAGGCGCTCTAGATGATGACGATGATGATGACGATGTGTACAGGTACTAGCATTAGCGCCACTCACACAAGAAAAAAATCGCGGACAAGCGAATCCATAAACCACGGGGTATCGTTACACACCCTTGTATATCAGAAGAAGGAGACGCAATTAATCATCAGCATTTGTGCATGTATCTGCTTACGCAATTGTATCGTCGCTCGCACTTTTATTCGCTACGAAGAAGTTGAATGTGGCTAGCCGGCCAATGTGTTTATGTATATGTATATGTATATGAGTGTATATGAATATGAATATGCATATATATATGTATATGTATACGTATATGTATATGTATATGTATATGTATATGTATATGTATGTGTATATGTATATGTAAAAATATATGTATGTGTATGAGTATGTATATGTATATGTATATAATTGCAGGCGTGTATTGTGCCTGCAGATCGTCGCGCAGCATTGAGATTGGTGTAGTTGTGCTATGTGCCTTCAATGGAGTGTATGCTGAATTCCTGGCGTAAACTGTCCGTACTGAATGACCCTTTGTGAGCTGTTCAATGGATTACTTATTCATAGCTGCGCTGTACCTACCGCACCGCTTGCCACCGTTTCGCAGTCGGAGTGATCTTTCGATGTACGATCAAGTGCTGGGTGCGAGTGACGCCATCGCCAAATCGAGGACGAAACATTCGACAATACAAGATGCTACAGCCCGCAATACCACTGATGTGGTAAGTATGAAGGCTGATCATGATCTCTACCTGGCCTGGGTATGAAAGATGCTATAGGGCAAATTCTGAGTGTTTCATTCATTCGTCGGTTCAATATATATATTGTCCGAGTATGTTCACCTAGCCTGTGTCATTGCATCTGATTTCTGTCTAAATCGTGCTTGACGTTGCATGCGTTTTGTGATCATTGCGTTGTCTGAGCAGGCACTCTGCTACGATAAGCGATTGCCCTTGGACGGCTTTGATATCGTCCCGCAATCGTCCGTGGAGATAACGGCATGGTTCCCAGCGCCCCCCGTGCCTTCCGATTTTGTACCCAATCCTATCCGTGCCAAAACTGCCGCACTAATGAATGACCTTGGAACCTTGACATCACGTATGTTGCCCATATGAGGCTCGCTTTGTTGTACATATAGTATGCGCATACTAGCTATGTATAAAAAATATATTTCATACAGCGGTCTTTGTTGCCTGGTTTACAATCGCACGCATTGGCCAGCCCGTGCTTCTCGTGGTCATGTGTTCCCTGCCTTGAGATTCATCACACAGCAAATGCCGACTATGCCTCGTTTGAGAAAATTAAGTATTATAGTCGTTTTGTAGAGACCGGATAACTCTACAAAACAGTATATATATTCATTCTGCCTATCCTGAACACGCTCCAATCCAATCAATACAAACCAAACCTACTCACTCGCGCTGTGGCAGGACAAAGAGGCGATCTGTTGGGCGACACAGCGGATGGGAGTGGGCAATCAGGCAAGTCAGTATGGGCGTTTGTAACGCCCCAAGAACGTCTGCGGATCAAAACACAGGCCGCTTCCACTGCCGACATCCCAGCCAAACCCGAGTCTGGGTCTTCTGCGGCCGAGCCAAAGCTGAGTCACAGCACGAAGCACAGTGCGATAGCTACTGCTGAGGCTAAGCAACCCTTGCCACCAACTGGACCCCCACCGCCACTGCAGGCGCCAATCGGACCACCGCCGACGGTGGCAGATAATGGGTTCATTCATCCGTCACGAAGGATGCCTGGCTCTATACCTACACACACGCCCAGCTCTACTAGACACACACCCATCCCTATCTCTGTAAAGGATATTCCTGTGCCCATAAAGAACACGCATACTATGCCTGCCAAGCCACCCAGGGGAGCTAGCAGATGGGCGTCTGCAGCGACGGCTGTGGACAGTACTGTGGGGAGTGTTCAGGTGCAGGGGAAAGGTACCGAACTTCCACAGAGAGAGGCGAAGACGATTGACTTGGTCACCGATGCGTTAAGACCCGAAGCGGCGCAGGCGGCGCTCAACAGTTTGTTCAATCCGTTTCCGAATGACCCGCTCAAGTGGGAGCGGTACAGCATATTCCTGAGGATACACAGTAAGTATTGATCAAGTCTCAGTAAGTATTGATCAAGTCTCGGTAGGTATTGATCAGGTCTGGTATACATGTGGGTTTGGTAACATTATTGAATAAGTAGATGTTGGGGGGTGGGGTGGGGGTAAGGAAAAGTGTGTTGGTAGCACTGGCGATATCATTTCAGCCATAGTGCGGACGTGACTGTATGGCATCTTCATGAGGACTTTTAAGTGGCAGTTGTCTAGCTTATTCATTGAGGCTGAGTTGAAAGTAATTCTGGAGAATGTCTGATTCGTGCGAGGGGTTAGACTGGTGTTATTAGTATGTCTTCTGAGTAGAGTGCGAACGTGATTTATATCGCAATATGCATTATTCCGTTAGAGTGGTAGTGATATAGCAAATTCAGAGAATAACAGTTCTATGGCGGAACTCTAGTTAATTGAGAGAATGGAGTGGTGCTGATGGAATTTGAATTGTCTTTTGAGTAAAAAATGTGGACGTGATATATATATATATATATATATATATTATATATATATATATGTATACACACACACATACACACACAAGTACATACACACACACACACACACA